ATTTTTCGGTAAAGTTGAGTATTTCTCACGCCAACCTGCAGGGAATTTCACTTCCAATCAGAATTAAGACCGCACGTGAAAGTAGGATATCCCAGCGAGGTTCCAGCCTCGCATCTTGTTCGACAAGCGAAATAGCCCGTTCGCTACAAATATCTTTGAAGTGCTTTAAGTCGTGCCACAACTGCAAATCACTACTCGTTTTAGGTATGCGATTTTCCATACGGGGCTAAACATGCTGGGAGAATTTCAGCCACTGTTTTCCGACAAGTTTTCGAGTTAAGACAGTGCCATGTGCAAACTTTGACACGACCATACGCGCTGCACAAGCGTCCAGGACAGCTGAATTTGAAATCCTTAACTCGCACATGCACTGAGAATATCGTTCCGGAGTTTCACTTTCTAGCTTGCTCGTTCGCGAAATCATTTCCCGCCAAAAAAGTTTGCATATTTTTTTGGGCGTCCGTACGCGACGTCTAGGTGCTTGTGGAGCAAGATCTTGAAACTGGAGGGTGACACACGGAGTTGGAACATAAACCCAAAATTGCAGCCTCCCAGCTTCCCTGGTTGCTGAGGAATGTGAAAGTGGGTGACAAAGTTCACTCGCTTCCGAACACACACATACACATAGACGACCTCTCGGCAATATGCGTTTTTGCAAACTCGAACTTTTAATTCAGCTTCTTTTGTTTATTGTTATATAAGTGAGTTATGCAAGTAAATTATGGCATTAGAGTATGGCAGTGGCATTGGCGACCGTCGAATCAAGCCCGAGGACTGCATGCACTGATCTGGTCTTGTACAGTGAGGCATTGTCATTTTTGTACTTCCTTGCTGCTGCTGCTTGTCGAAAAAATTTTCTCATTCTCTTGCGAAACTTCTTAGGTGATCGACGATCCTATGCGTACGTTGCTGCGTTATCAACAAATGAAAGACCAATTCCGTGGTTGCTTTTGGAAAATATGGCCCGCATCATACCTCGCCTAATACACAGTGTAAATCGGTCTGTTGCATCTCCTGCATATTGCATTTTGTTTATTCTTTCTATTTATTCGCAGTGGTGAAAGTATATGCGGCATTACTTTTTGCAGGAAATGACAAAAATCGTGTCTGAGCGAGAGTTGAGTTAAAAACCCATGCAGTGTTTTCAATATTCTCAGCCCTTACTGTGCCTAGTTAAGCATGTAGTCAACGCTGAGATTGGAGAGGGTAAATTCTTCAATGAGGGCAGGAAGATGATTTCTCAAGACTGACCAAACGGCACTTAAATTCTTCAGAATTTTATTCCAGTTCTTGTTATAAAATTAGCCGGCAGTATTTCAACGTCAGTCAGTAAATACGCCAAGGAGTTAAATCACAAGAACAAGTTGCCCTCTGGATTTTGCTTAGCTTGGATGACATAAGCACTTCAAGAAAACCCCATAATTCAGAAAACAGTAATTGATTTAGTCATTCAGAAGTGCTGCGTGCCAATTCTTCACATAATATGCTTCCACGGGACTTTTCTGTGGTATTTTTTGGTGCATGAAGCTTGTTTTGCATTCAAGAAATAAAGCGCTTTCGAGTTCTCGAGTATTGGTTGGCTCGCGATAGCGATAGGATGAACAGCGGATGCACTGACAGGATCCTATGAAGCATGCCAGTTTTGATCATGTACCTGCCGCATCACTTAGATGCCCCGTTCTTGTAGAGTGGTATACGTTTTTGGAAGTGCTGTGGAATATTCGGTGAGTGACATTACCCCGACATATTTGAACGATTATGCCATCTCATTGGCGCAGTGGGCTGATCGGATAGCCAACGATGTTTTGCACGGTTTGGATGAAAACGGCAGGGAGGATCGCTCCTTAGCGAAGTGCGTGAACAGGATACAGCAGGTTGTGATTGCTGTTGCTGTTTTTATGCGTTTTTTGCATCTATGTAATCCAAAAACTCATATTGTCGAGGGCTTGTCTGTATGTGCGTATGCAAGGAGTTTTCATCTCGAAATCCACAAAATCTACAGGGCTGAAACTTTGGTAACTTAATCTGTACATTTGTTCGGGCTCTTATCCTCAAAATAAATGCTCATTTCGGCGTGGTTCTTACGCACAAGCACGTGGAAGTTTTTCTGACGGAAAATCGTTTTTGGGGACGGCCCAAGCCAGGAGGTTGAGATTTCACAGAGGTGTTCCCTGGCCGCGTCTAATCCAAAGATTTGAAATTCAGCCTTCATGCGCCTCAAAGTCTCACGTACGCATACGTCAAAGTCTGAGCTGGCGTCAAGTTAACTCCAGATTTAAGCCGACCAAGAGGTAAAATTTTGCAGCGTTACTACTTTTCGTCCACTGTTGTGCCCCTGAAAGTAAATTGAGCTTTTCAGCCCCTTTGCATCTTACGTTTGGTCAAATGAAAATTTCACGCTGGCACTTTAGTATTTTTAGAATTTGAGCAGCTAAAGAACTGAAATTTTCTGAGCATAACCGACGGTGGCCTTTGACCGGATGGATGCAGGAACGGCTTCCGCATCACTTTCACGTCTCACGTATTTCCACGTGGAGTTTGGTATAACTTCCCAACCAAAACAGCTAGAGCGCTGAAATTCTGTGAGCGTTCCTCAGGGCTGTATTTCAGCAACCACACGCGAAAAAAGTATTCACGTTGCCGCTCGCGTACGGACACGTAAAATTTGACGTAACTCCGCAATCCGAACAGCTGGAGTATAGAATTTTTTGGGCATGGTTTGGGAGTTATTGTAATAATTTCTAACAGTCGTGGTAGTAACTCCCAGTTCTCCTAGCTTAGCTAGAAGCATCTGGCAAAAAAAAAAAAAAAATGCCACTAGCAACAAAAATTTGCGGGGGAATTGCGCAAAAAACGCATCTTCGCACCAGCAACCGGTGCGCTTTTGACTAAGTTTTACATTCAGATACGTATTTTCGCTTTTAGGCTGCGCTGCTTCATTGCTTTCAACTGTTGTTGCATTC